AAATATTTGTTTACTGTCTGTCTACTGTTTATTCTATCTATCCTACATCTGATGAACTTTATCATTATTTTGGGGTGTAAATAAGTCGAGAGCTCGATAAGCCGGCTCGATAAAAGCTCGAGCTCTAGCTTTCTCACGAGCTTGAGCTCAAATCTATTTTTAGTTGTTCATGACTCAAAAGCTGGCTAGTAGCTAGCTTTTCAATTATTTTATTTTTGTATAATAAATTACTAATATTGGAATTGCAATATAATAATTTACAAAATAATATTATAATAAAAAAATAATGTTATATTAATGCTACAACAGTCCCCTTAAAACCTATAGTTTTTTTAGTTGTAAGTGAAAAAACCAAAAATTGCAATTGCTTACGATTTTGAAAACTCTTGCCCTGAAATTTTAATATAATCAGAATTGATGGAAGCTCTTACGCCGGCGGCGATCAGATTCAGACCGCCGCTGATTCCTCCGATTAGGGCGCGTATCTCCGTCCACGCGCTTGTTTCCTTCGGTTCCGTTCAGATTCCGACCCGGAGGAAGATTGAGGTGAAAGCGAAATCGGAGAAGAGGAGCGCCTCCGCCGCCGCAGCGGATTGGAAGTCAAATTACCAGAAGGATTTCGAGGCGCGCTTCAGAATTCCCCATTTAACCGACGCGCTGCACGACGCCGTTCCGTACCCTTCCACTTTCTGCCTCAGGATGAGGATTGGTGATTTAATTTGCGGGAAAAAAACCGGATGTTTAAATAATTAAATTTATGTTGTAGAATAATAATTATATAGTATATATATAATTACTGTGAAAAGGAATTTTGCGAAAGGAAACTACTGTGAAGAAGTGTAAGAAAGTTTTTGCTGAGGAAGCATTATTATTTCATCAAATAATATTACACTTATTTATATAGGTAAATACCCATTTCACAAATGACACGAAGCAAATGACTTAGTTAGTCATCACTTCAAATTAATACACCTATTAATACAAAATTAATATTGCATGCACTTGAAGATCACGTGAAGTGCTTTAGTAGCATGTGTATAGAATTGATTCTATTGGTTGAGTCCACATGTCACAACACTCCTCCTTGGACGAAACATTATTGTGTTGTCTCAAAACAAAGTTATGTGCATAAGCTGCCTCGTTAAAAACCTTTGCTGGAAAACCCAATGGGACAAAACCAGTCATAAGGGAAAAAGAGTGCAGCGCATCATTGCTCCTCATGAAATAAACAATATAAATCTTCAAAAATGGCTCATCAATCTTGCTTCACATTGGATCTTCTCATTCCGATTTCGTATACCAGTTTCTCAAATGTAGAAGTCGGTAAGGATTTTGTAAACAAATCAGCAAGATTGTTACATGAACGAATTTGTTGGACATCAATTTCTCCATTCTTCCGAAGTTCATGTGTGTGGAAGAACTTTGGTGATATATGTTTAGTCCTATCACCTTTTATGTATCCGCCCCTTGTTTGTGCTATACAAGCAGCATTGTCTTCGTAAATGACTGTGGGCGTGTCTGTAACTGGATGTAATTGGCAGGAATTTCGTATATGAGATATAACTGATCTTAGCCAAACACATTCTCTGCCTGCCTCATAAAGTGCTATTATTTCTGAATGATTTGATGAGGTGGCCACTAATGTATGTTTGGTAGATCGCCAAGATATACCTGCACCATTATAACAAAACAAATATCTAGTTTGTGAGCGAGCTTTGTGCGGATCAGATCTATATCCCGCATCGGCATAACCAACTAACCATTGGTTAGTTGAATTTTTCGAATAAAATAATCCCAAATCTGCAGTTCCACGGAGATATCGAAAAATATGTTTAACACCATTCCAGTGTCTCCGGGTTGGCTCAGAACTGTATCTCGCAAGCACATTTACAGCAAAAGTTATATCAGGTCGAGTGCATTGTGCTAGATACATTAATGCTCCGATCGCATTGAGATATGGCACTTCTGGGCCAAGTATCTCTTCATTGAATTCTTTAGGTCGAAACGGATCCTTTTTAGGATCTAAATTGCGTACAACCATAGGGGTACTTAATGGATTAGAATTTTCCATATTAAACCTTTTGAGCACTCGTTTAGTATATGCAGATTGGTGTATAAGTATGCCGTTATTTTTATGCTCAAGCTCAATACCAAGACATAGTTTTGTTTTTCCAAGGTCCTTGACCTCAAACTCTTTCTTTAAATATTCAGCTGCATTGGCTAACTCTTCATGAGTTCCAATCAGGTTCATGTCATCTACATAAACCGCAATGATAGCAAATCCGGTTTCTGATCGTTTAATAAAAACGCATGGGCAAATAGGATCATTTTTATAACATTCCCTGATAAGGTATTCACTCAATCTATGATACCACATGCGACCGGATTGCTTTAGACCATACAATGATCTCTGTAATTTGATTGAGTGCAGCCCACGAGCAGCGCCAGATTTTGGCATTTTAAATCCATCGGGAATTTTCATATAGATATCAGAATCTAGTGAAGCGTATAAATAGGCCGTTACAACGTCCGTTAGACGTAAGTCCAGTCCCTCTTGGACGACCATATTTATAAGAAAACGGAAAGTGATCGTATCCAACACTGGTGAATACGTCTCATCATAATCAATTCCAGGCCGCTGGGAAAAGCCTTGAGCAACAAGGCGGGCTTTATATCGTACAATTTCGTTGCTCTCATTTTTCTTACGGACAAATACCCATTTATATCCAACGGGCTTTACATTATCCGGAGTTTGAACAATTTGCCCAAATACTTTCCGTTTTTCTAAGGAAGCCAATTCAGATTTTATTGCTTCTTCCCACTTAGGCAAATCATTTCTTTGGCGGCATTCTATTATGGAACGCGGTTCACTATCATAATCATCGTACATTATTTCTTGTGCAACCGAGAATGCAAAAATATTATCGATGATTATCTCATTTCTATTTCATTGCAATAACTTATGGGATTCTCGGTATTCCCGGTATTTGATATCGTTTTTTCGATATCAGGCTCAACAGATTCATCTGGAGCATTCTCACTAGGAACCACTTGGTTCGAGGGTTCATCGATTTTCCCCTTTCTTTTTCTAGGAATAACGTCCTTTGATCCAATAGGTCTACCCCGTTTTTGTCGTGGGGGATCATCATTCATTTTCGCATGTTCTTCAGGAACAGCGATCCTAGCTGGCACATTCACAGCTGGGATATAAGATTTCGTGACTTTACTGGCATCATTAAATGCATCAGGAAGTGTATTGGCAATATTTTGTAAATGAATGATTCTATGGATCTCATTTTCACATTCAGAGGTACGTGGGTCGAGATGATATAAGCGTTGCTCACACCATGTGAGATTCTCGATTGGTTTTTGTTTATCATTATCACGGATATTCTGAATATCCTTACCAATCGGTATAAATAATGTCTCATCAAAATGACAATCCGCAAATCTAGCGGTAAATAAATCACCCGTCATTGGTTAAAAAAACCTAATAATCGACGGTGAATCAAACCCAACATATATGCCAAGTCGACGTTGGGGACCCATTTTAGTCCTCTGAGGAGGAGGAATTAGCACTTGCACAGCGCAACCAAATGTGCGTAGGTGCGAAATATCGGGCTCAAAGCCTAATGCCAATTGCATTGGGGAATGCATATGATAAGCAGTGGGGCGCAATTTAATCAGTGCTGATGCATGCAGTACTGCATGGCCCCATGCTGCACTAGTGAGTTTCGATCTCATCAGCAAAGTACGAGCAATTATTTGGACGCGTTTAATCAGAGATTCCGCCAGTCCATTTTGAGTGTGAACGTATGCTATTGGGTGCTCGACATTTATTCCCAGTGCTGCACAATACTCATCAAAAGCTTTTGATGTAAATTCTCCGGCATTATCCATCCTTATATTTTTATGGGATAATCAGGGAAATGTGCTCGGAGTTTAATAATTTGTGCTAGCAAACGCGCAAATGCAACATTTCGCGTAGATAATAAGCATACGTGGGACCATTTACAAGATGCGTCCACCAAAACCATAAAATATCTAAATGGCCCACTTGCAGGGTGTATTGGTCCACAAATATCACCATGAATACGTTGTAAAAACGACGGTGATTCATAACTGACCTTTTCAATGGAAGGTTTTATAATGAGCTTTCCCTGTGAACATGATTCGCAGAAATATTCATTGGACATTAAGATCTTTGTATCTTTTAATGGATGTCCCTTAGTATGTTGTACAATCCTACGCATCATAGTCGTTCCTGGGTGACCCAGTCGATCATGCCATAATCCATGAATATTGGGATTAACGAGTTTCCATGGCATAGTGGCATAGGATTCGAAAGCTCTAATTTGGAAACAATACACTCCAGAAGCTGTCGCTTCGAGTTTTTCATGAACAATTCTTTTGTCCATAACATATGATGTGATGCAGAGACACTCCACGGTATTTTCAACCAGTGTCTCTAAATGATATCCATTACGTCTCACATCTTTAAAACTCAGTAGATTCTTATTTGATCTACCTGATATCAATGCATTTTCAATATGCAAAGTGGTACCATTAGGCAACACAATTGTTGCGTTCCCGGAGCCATCTATTATTTCCGCGGAACCTGCTATGGTTTTAACTTGTGCCTTGCACAATGTCACACTCGAGAAATATATTTTATTATTGAATATTGAGTGTGTAGTTGCACTATCGAGTAGGCAATTTTCTCTTTTGTCGATGTTCTCCATGTTTGCCTGAATTAAATAACATAAAATTAATATTGAATCGTAGTATAGTTTGTAAATCATATAATAACAAACTCATAATTCTATACATAGTCAAAATATCAGCTCCACCTTGGGAACATAACTTCCAAGGGAGATATGTACATGGATACATCAAAAGACAAACTAGTTCAATCTCGGGTACTACATCATCCGAGAGAGATATATACAAAATATACATATTGAGTACAAAATAACCAAAAGAGATGCTCATTTGGCAATTTACACAAGAGGATCAAGATCTGTAAAGAAATCTGATAACTCAAGAGAGGCTCCATCTTGAGCAGGATCTTGATCAAGCATGCTTCCAGATGTGCTGGCTTCAAGAACAGCAAGTGGCATTTCTGCCTCAGTGACATTTGCCTGGACATTTTTTCCTTTGTCTCTTTTTGAATCCTAGTACAGATTTACCAGATGTTGGGCGGTTCTACAAACTTTGGCCCAGTGTCCAGTCATTCCACATCTAATACACATATTTTCTGGAATTCTTTCCGCGGGCATTTTGCCTTTATCGCGTTTTGCCTGAAATGGTTGTCTCTGCCAGACCGTATTATTATTATTATTTCGACGGGGATATTCATATCCACCACGGTCATTATTTCGGGCATCTTGAGGGGGACCACGTCCACCACCTCTGCGTGCACCACGCCAGAATCTACGCCCACGGCCTCTAAATCGGCCCATATTTCTATTTTGATTAGCATGTGCTTCAGGCACAGCTTGGGACCCACATGGTCGCAAATCATGATTTTTCAACAGCAATTCATTTGTTTTTCTGCCGTGAGGAGTACAGAGATCAACTCCGAATATGTTTTAAACTGGCGCTGCCTATATTGCTGTTGGAGCACCAAGTTCGAGGCATGCATAGTTCAAAAAGTTTTTTCCAATTTATCATATTCGGATATTTTAACTCCAGACAAGGCTAATCGGGACTCAAGTTTAAACAGTGCCGAATTATAGTCGGCAACAGATTTGAAGTCCTGCAGCCTTAGGTGCTGCCAATTGTATTGGGCTTGTGGGAGAATGACAGTTTTTGTGTGATCAAACCTTTCTTTGAGTTTTTGCCATATCTCTGATGGCCTTTCAAGTTGTATATATTCATCTTTCAAATCCTCGGAAAGATGATGGCGGATAAAATTTATTTATGTTGATTGCGTCTGAAAAGGGTTGTTTATGCGATGATTTTCCTCATTTCAGGTGATACGTTAATCCTCTCCTGCATCTGCCGGTGCCGAGTGTATTGATCCAGGCTGTACATGGGTAGAGCAATGGTAAAAATCTTTTACGTAATATTATTCACGAGCTTATATGGAGAGACTATGAATAACTAATAGTTAAATAATTCACATCACTAACAGCTTAAGCTTTTCGGTCACCGTTAGTCACGGTGCAGTAACTTTATGATAATTTAATATGCTTTTCATCTCATACTAGCTACTAAAGCTTGTTTGATATTTTTTTTTTTCTCAAGGAGATCTTAAAAAAAAAAAAAAAGTAGTTGGGGAGCTTATAAGCTGTTGTTGTTTTTTGAAAAAAAAAAAAACTTAATTCATCGTGCTGCTGTCAACTTAATTTCAGGGTGCATCGTGCTGGGCCTCGAGAAAAGATATACTTCAAACCAGAAGAGGTAAAAGCAGCAACTGTTACATGTGGAGGCCTTTGTCCCGGCCTCAATGATGTAATAAGACAGGTAATTTCATACACTTGCACTAGTCCCGGATTTTTTTTTTACTCGTAGTCAGACTTCACTATTATCTTCTCATTTGTATTGCTTGATCACATCAATTACATGCTCATATTTTATTTAGTTTTGCATATGGTACTTTACATAATCTGTTATAAAAGCGGAGAAAAAGACCGACTGCGACAACTGCAAAAATGAACATTAAGTCTTGATAGAGATAATTTGCCAACATATAGTTTCAATTAACCTTCAAAGTTTGTTATTAGTATAGCAATTGCATGCAGTTCAAATTCTATTCAAGCAATATCAATTTTATTTTGGGTAAATTACGGCCAACCCCTGAGGTAAGGTCAAATTACGAAAAAACTCCTCCTTTGTGGATACTTACAACCACTCTTATGGTGTCAATCTTAAACAGTACCGAATTATAGTCGGCGACATATTTAAAGTCCTGCAGCCTTAGGTGCTGCCAATTATATTGGGCCTGTAAGAGGATCACAGTCTTTGCGTGATCAAACTCTCCTTGAGTTTTTTGCCACATATTTCTGATGGTCTTTTTAATTGTACATACTCGTCTTTCAAATCCTAGGAAACATGATGGCGATAAAAATCATAAAGAATTTGAAATTTCTGTTTTTCGATTCCGGCCATCGTAAAGTAAAATAAGTAGAAAATAGTACAATAAAAAAATAAACTTATTTACAAACCTATAATTTTGTACGAGCGATAATATGTTATAGAATATAGTAGAAAATATAACTATAGGAACTTTACTAATATATTTAATCGTATTGCTATTAAAGCTTGTGTCAATATTTCTCATTACAGAATGTTGCTATTTATACAAAATTCCATGAAGCATTTTCTTGCTCTACTACAAGGAGAAAATGACAAGTTAATGCTTGAGATTAATTCACAGTCAAAAGAAATGTTTGGATAATAATTACACTAAGGTCCCGTTTAGTTGACAAGATAAAATTAGCCAAGATAAGATACTTTTATGTATAAAATAATAGGCATATTATTTTATAAGATGTTTGATTTGATCGATAACAATGAATTATCTCGCAATTAGTCAAGATAAAAATTATTTTGGCGGAAAATAGTAGGGCTAACCAAATATCAAACTAAATCTTACTATTTAATTAATTTTGGCTAATCTTGCCAACCAAACAGGACCTAAAGCTATGACGTAAATGCAAAGACGATATGACGTAAATGCAAAGACGAGTAATAACAACTTTCCTAACAAAGGTTGGTTATCTCCTTGTCAATTAAGCAAGAGGTGGGTTTGATAGGTTTTTTGAAATAGAATTATTTGTGCAAATGAAGCCCAACGCAAAAGAGAAGGCCCACAATTCATCATAAAAAAAAAAAAGAAGAAGAAGGGGTTTGTTTATCTTCTCTCTCCTTGTCGATTCATTTCACAATTCAATTAAAAAAAAATGGAAGTTGAATCTTGTTCAGCAACATCAGTTCGTGCTTCTAAAAGGCTGCGATTGTCATCTGTTTCTCAAAAAGTCTGTGTCGTTTTGCGATGTATGCATCCCGATGGCGACGAATATAAATTTTACATTGTGGATTTGGATTCATCCTCGGGCGGCGGCGGCGATGAATTCATTCATAAGGAACCCATTATTCGATTCAAAGGGAGTGTTCCTGGGGTGGCCTTTTGTGCTCTAAATTCCACACTTTATATGTTTGAGGGAGACATGTTTCTGGGTGGCCGAATGGGCGGAAGAACTTTTGCAGGTAAGTTTGAGATAAGCGAAGAAGAAATCATCGATTATAATCTGAAGAAAGAAAACCTAGTTAAGATCAAGGCTATGCGTCACGGGAAAATTTCTCCTATAGCTCTTCCCACACCAGACGGTGGTAATCGTATTTTAGTTTTTTCATCAGAAATCATCATGGGTGATGGTGGTCTGTTTTATGGTGATATTTTCGAGTTATATAACGTTTCTAATGACACGTGGGAAGATCTCCCTCCACTGGTACCTAGCTGTGGTGGGTCTTCTTTATCTTCTTTTCTAATTCAATCGTATGGATTTCTGACTGATTCCCGTTTTGTGATTCTGATCGAGTCTGGTATCTATGGTCTCGAGTTTGGTATCTATGCTCTCGATCTTAACGCTCAATCTCAATCTAAGGTCTGGGAAGAATTTGGTGGTATTCCTGATTCACTTGATGGCTATTTTATAGGGATTCATGATTATGAGTTTTATTTCACTCCTCACTGGGCTTATGCTAATTTTAACTATGGAGATATCAGTGAATTCGAAATTCCGGTATCAAAGTTTCCTAATGATTATGATTATGTTCCATCATATGTAAGACATTGTGATGTACTGATTCCACACACCACACTCTTAGGTCATAGTGAAGATGGTGTTTTCGATATGGCTATTGTGCAAGCAAAGTTTCATCCAGTCGATCCTTATTCCCAAAATCTACGTGTGATGTTGGATATATATCGGACTGATACCGAGCAATTCAAAACAGCTACGGAGAAGAGGCACAGTCGTCTTTGTGAAAAGCTTGGGCATGTCACTAAAACTCTCAAGCTCATGCTTGATTTTGATCTCTCTACTTATTTATGGGGACAAATGTATTTGTTTTCCATTTGAGCCCTTTTGTTCCTTTTGTCTCTTCAAAGATGTTTTATTTTCATTTTCAAATTCTCTCTTGTTTTATTTTTATCTTTTTTGTTCTTCAAATACTGGACGGTTAATGTTTTTGTTTCTTTTATTTCTTAATCCTTTCTATGATTCTCTAGACAACAATCATGACATAACTTATGCTTCTTTGGTACAAAGTTGATCATTTGGCAAATATTTGGTCTTTTCTATTGTACAATAGGCTAATTGACATTTGAGATATGTCATAAAAATGAATGTTGGGAAATTTGTTTTAGAAGAAAAAAAAAATCTTCAAATTGCGTCATTAGTTTACCGCTGAAGAGGGATTTCTTTAACGGGGTAAGGAAAAGTAATGAAAAATACTAAAATGCGTCATTTCCTTAACGCGCAGTAAATGCTTGATCTAATCCACCGAAACAAAACGAGTACCTTTGTTACCTTTGTATTTATTTAGCTACCAGTTTGGTACAACCATCTATATTCCGTACATGAAGTTTTTCATTCAATGTCTTCAATGAAATTATCGGTGTAATTGTATTTATTTAGCTACCAGTTTGGTACAACCATCTATATTCCGTACATGAAGTTCTTCATTCAATGTCTTCAGTGAAATTATCGGTGTGACGTGCGTTGCACGTCTCTATTAATTTATGTATATATTAAAATATTTTGAAATAGTAGAATGTGGTTTTATTTAATATTGATATACACAAACTATCATATTTATGTTACAATATCTATTTCTTCTTAGGTTAATCCAATAATTATTTACCATCGTCTTGAATATCATATACGTAGTGATTTTTTTGTTCTTTTTAATTAGAACCTTTTCGATCTTGTGATTACTTTCATTTCGAGTTATTCCAATAATTATTTATCATTTCGAGTTATTCCAATAATTATCTATCATCGTCTTGAATATCATATACGTAGTTATTTTTTTGTTCTTTTTAATTAGAACCTTTTTCGATCTTGTGATTACTTTCATTTCGAGTTATCTCATTTACTCTTGAATGTTTATTATATTTTTCTTATTTTTAGAACAAATGAAAAATAAATATTAATGAAAAATTAAACATAAATAAAAAATTTGATGGAGACATGATCATTGTCGTGAACCCACGACGGTTCACTAGTCAGAATCGACTGGGGTTCACAATTCAAAAGTACAAGACCATTAACCAATCCTTAAGGTTAAGAATTTAATTTTATATATATATATATATATCAAAGGACAAATGAATATTAATGAAAAATTAAATGGAGACCTGATTATTGTCGTGAACCAACGGTTCACGAGTCAGAATCGGCCGGGGTTTACAATTAAAAAATACAAGACCATGAACCAACCTAAGTTAAGAGTTTGATTATGATTCTAAAATACAATTTCACAATCGAGTGTTGGTTCAAGCAACGATTAGCGACATATTTAAGCTGTTATGGTTACAATTTTCAATGAATCAGATATTATTAATTATTGTATTTACATGCATTAATGAAAAAATTAATTATTACATATTTTACTTAATTAACATTGAAGTTTTAATTATTTTAGGGGGCATTTTTGTCCATACATAAAATGGAAGAAACCACCTAGCATTCACACTTTTATATATAGTATAGAAAACATGTATTTAATGTAGTTCTGATGAGATAACTCGATAGCTCGATTGTAGAGCGTTGAAGACCATGACTTAACTGGTGTGTGGAAAAAGGTGTATTTGTTTTGGTAAGATGACCTAATTGGTTTTGACCCCAATTGTATTTGTAAGAGATGACTGCATTTTTTTCTTCCATTCTGCCAAATTATACGATTAATTTAATTAGTAGTTGCAAGTTGAGGTTATTGACAAATAGACATAATAACAGCAATGCAATGTAGCACGTTTGCACATTTGTTGAACACAAACCAAATAAAATAGAAGAATGTAGCAACTTTTGACTTCACGGTTTGTTCGTTACATGAGGCAAACAAATCAACTAAAAAACATAAACCCTAAATTGTAGAATTTAGGGTTTTAGAAAGGTTAGCTAACCTGTTCAGATGGGAGAAGTGGCGGAGTTGGAAGAGTACTGATCGCCGGGAGAAAAATAGCAGAGGTGGAAGAGAGAGAGATCCGGCAGCGAGAGTAAAAGGGCAAAATGACGACGGCGAGCAGAGGTGGAAGAGAGAGATATCCGGCGGCGAGAGTAAAAGGGTAAAATGACGACGGCTAGGGAAAAGGGCAAATGGACTTTTCAATGGAAAATAAAAGAAAAAAAAAAAGATTTTTTGAGTCATCTTGCTAATCCGTTTTATTGGGGATGGTTGGCGCTTTGATTGTCGATTGATTTTACAGGCGAAGGAGGACGAGCGTAACATATGTCACCAGTGCAAGAGGAATGATAAATAGTATGAGACTCTTTTTGCTTTTGGAGTTCATTTTTACTTGTATTATTTGATCAATGGTTCTTTTGATTAGGGCTTGAGTGGCTAAAGTGACTGAACATGAGTTCCGAAACATTGTTGAACCAGATTTCTCATAGGCATGTTGTTGTGAAGAGTGGCCGTGCAAATAGTGTCACATAACTATTTCGAGTTTACCTGTCTATGTTCTTCTTTTCTGCATGAGTTATATAACATCTTTTCTATTAACAGTGAGTTGTTGGCTATGTATGTTGATTGAAGGTCTCTCAACCTGCACATCAAAACTATCTCATAACAATGTTTTCCTTTTTAGATTTATTATTGTATCTTTGATTCCGTTAGTGTCTGAAAAAGTAAAGTCCTGTTCCCAGGCATCCTCAGATGCCGGAAGAGGCTTTTACTGAAGCTTGCCCTGTTTGTTGTAACAATTGCAATTGCAAGAGTTGCTTGTAAATGGATGGTCGAATTAGGGTTGGTTTTTATCCATCATGCACTTTCATATATTTTCCTCTCTGTATTCATAACAACCGCGAGTGCGTTTTGTCATTTCATATTGTTTTCCATATTCTCTCTCTTTCTTGCTCCCATCTTTAGGTTAAATGATTTTTCTATTCAGATTCAATGTTTTTGTATTGCATGCAGGATTTAAAATTATTAACATTGAAATATGGCCATGAAGAAAAGATGGAGTACTCTAGATACATGCTGCAAAGGCTTCTGCCCTTCTTAAAACAGTTCCATGAAGAACAAATGGTCGAGAAGGAAATGGAGGCTAAGATAAAAGGTATTTTCTTTTCGGGATTCGAATAACTTGGAGGACTATGTATGTGATTCGAATTTCTTTTGCTGTCGAGTTAGTATTGGACTCATTTAGTGTAGACCTCTATCTAAGCTAACTTATCATGTAATTAATTGACAAATCAGAGGTTTCTTTATGAACTCATAATGTGCAACACACGAAGTGTGTTTGCATAAGCTTTCCAAAATCGTAAATGACGAATTACTTATGTAATGTTTAGTGTATATCTACTTGAGATTCCTTATGTATACACTTTATCTTCCACATACATTAGGACTATATAAAGTGAGAAAACATAAGATTCTTGTGAGAGAAGAAGAATAACAAAACATTGTGAGAGAAAAATAGAGAAGTAGAAAAGGAAATTTTAATTTTTACCAGACAAAAGAGACTAAGTTGCTTCTAATCAATTAATCAACAACAATCAAGACAATCCACCACCACATCCAATCCATCAACCATCTTCAATTTTCAACACCAACACCATTACCAACAAGAGGGGGTTCGTGCTCTAATGTGTTTCGACGTTATGAGGTTGTGGTGGTGTTGGTGTTGCGGCTATGGTGGTGGTTGTGTTGCGGCTGTGGGGTAGTGGTGTTGTTGTATTGCCGCCGACGACAACGATTATTTGAGCACGAGGACGAAGTTAGTGAAGAAAGAGGGGGACAATTGAGGATCTGATAAAAATTAGGGTTTCTTTAGGAATTTTTGAAATTGGAATTTGGTCCCTAAGCCTTTAGATTATTTGTAATCAAATCAAATTGAGTTTATCTTCATTTATAGGAGGGTATTTATATTAGCAAAATCAAAGAAATACTCGCACAAGCCGTGAGTGAACCACGCGATCTGCTCATAAGGATCTTGTTGGCTTTGACTAAAAAATATAAGGGCAAGTACTAATATTTTTAACATATATACTTTTTGACAATTAGACCTCTAATTGTTGAAATAAATTAAAATTGGGGCTGAATCAAAAATAGATCTATAAATTGGGACTGAATCATAAATATATTTAAAAAAAGGGGCTGAAATAGCATGATCACGTACCTCCATGTGCCTTTTCTATCCAAATTAACGCCAAAATCTAATGGTGGACTGAAAGTGTAAAAAAAAATGGATTAGATGTATGTCCTACATCCAGTTAAATGGGAAACACTGGATTTAGATAGTAGGATTTTTTTAAGAGATTTTTTTGCGGAATTCATGATAGCAGCCGAGAACAGTTATTTCTTGTGAATATTTGCAAGCTAAGTACTGTGATGATGTTAAAAGAAGTTATTGGGTACATAGTTTTCAAATTAATTGACTAGTAACTGCTTTGCATGGGCACTTTGCATGGGCACTTTGCATGGGCAGGATTACCAATTTCAGAAGTGAAGCCACAACAATTAAACTGCGTGGCAGTTGACCGAATATACTGGTAGATCTCATCATGACTCTTATTTTCCAATAACGAATTCGCTCAGGTTTCAAAAGAGCCATTATTCTATGAATTTGTGCAGCAACAACTGTAAAACATCTATTGTTGATTTTCATCGAAGCTGCCCAAGGTGTTCCTATGATCTGTGCATCACATGTTGTCGAGAGATTCGAGAGGGACATTTGCAGGGTGGGGATGAAGAAGTGGTCATGCATTATGCATTTCGTGATTCAAGTTACTTCCACAATGACAATTGTCACACTGCGCATCATAGTAAGAACGCTTCTCCTATTAATAACAATGAACCTTCTTCTGAAGTTAAAGCTGAGATGAAATCTGCATGGAGATCTGTAGAGGTTGGTATCATTCCATGTCCACCACAATGGTTTGGGGGTTGTGGTGAAGGAACTCTGGAATTGAAGTGTATTTTTCCAGAGAATTGGGTCTTGAAGTTGCTGTCCAGAGTAGGAGAACTGGTGAAGGGACAAGATTTTGAGGACTTGCTTAAAACTTGCGAGGAATGCCCATGTGTGAACTTCTTTGGTGAGAATGTAATGGCTAGTGATAAATTGTGCAGAGCAGCTTCTAGGCAAGATTCGAGGGACAATTTTTTGTACTGTCCAACAGCTAAAGACCTGCAGCATGATGATATGAAACATTTTCAATTGCACTGGCTCAAAGGTGAGCCTGTGATTGTTAATGGCGTGCTAGAAACTACATTAGACTTGAGCTGGGCACCCATGGTTATGGCGCGTGCTTTTCGTCAGAAAAGAAAGAAAGAAAATGAAGTTCTAGTTGATGTGACTCAATAAACTGCTTGGACTTGTGTGAGGTCAGGCACTTCATTCTACTTCTTCGTTCTGTTTCATCTATTACGTTGATATGATGCATGATAATTCAACTACTACAAATTGACATGCATTTTTGAAATAATATACATCATTGGAATAACTAAATAATATATCGATTGTACGTCATCTTTTTAGTGAAAGTTACATATATCTGTATGATCTGTTATCTATATTTCCAGTCATGCACTGCCTATTTTAGACCATACTTGTTTGTTTGATTAGTATTTGGACTACATGTTAGGAGTAGTTGTCCTCTTACAATAAAGTTCAAATGTGTTTGTTGTATCTGGTGGTTTATACGATGATCGTAATTTTTCTGGTGATGCTATTAGATCACTAAACACCAGTTTTTTTTTTTCAAATTGTTCTTGTATGTGAGTTAGGTAATCAAGAGTTTCATACTAAATCTTGTTCTTGTATGTGAGTGCCGTGCAGATCTAGCCATACTTGCGTGATTTTTATTTCACAAGTTCCAGTTTGTAATATTTATTTTTCTTCTATTTGGAATTTTCCTAGTTTTTGCTCGATGTTTTTCTTTATTCTTTGGCTTCTCTTCTTCTCAGTCTTTTCTTTGACATCTAACATGCTATTAGGTATATTAGGAGTCCTAATTTTGAAGTGTCCTAGACTCCTGTGTGTTACACTTCTTTGTTGAAGATGTTTAGTGATCTTCTTTATGGTGTTTTATCTTGTATTTCGACATCGGACTCTTTAGATTCTAAAGTACTGGATTTTGATGTGGTTTTGGTTTGATAAGTGACAGTTTTATAACTTCATTTCAGATTAATTATATCCTTCAAAATTATAATAATATTTGATAGTAAAAATGTAATGGTGCAGTCTACATAGGTTGATGTGAAATCTAATTCAAATTGAATACAACATCTATGGAGTCTGATAAATTTATTGCTCGACTGTTGTCATAAAAATCATTTGGCTATGGCGATTGATTTTGGTGTGGTCCATTCTGTTGAGTTCAATTATTCCCTAGAATGTGCGCATGAAATATTTGACTTAGTGCTTCTTGTAACTTAGTTTATTCATCTCAAATCTGTATTATGAAGTGAAAATCGTTTTATTGTGTAACTGTTTATTGGATGTTATCTATCTTGTTTATCTCGTTCACCATCTTGTAGATTTGCATGCTTTACGGTGATGTTTGAGTTGTCAATGATGGAAAACTCATCAGTTTTCAATCACAACCAGGTTGTCATAAAAATCAACCAGTTTTTCAAAGGGTATTTAGAGGGTGTCGGTTTGATAGTTATTCTTGGCCTGAGATTCTCAAGTTGAAAGACTGGCCTCCTTCTAACTTGTTCGAGGAGAGCTTACCTCGTCATGGTGTTGAGTTTATCAGATGCTTGCCCTTTAAAGAGTACACACATCCTCACGATGGCTACTTAAATCTTGCTACTAAACTGCCAAAGATTTCTCTGAAGCCAGATATGGGGCCAAAGACATATATTGCTTATGGAGTTGCTCAGGAATTGGAGCGGGGTGATTCTGTAACAAAATTACACTGTGATATGTCTGATGTCTGATGCAGTACGTCATCTTCTGTGAATCTTCGATATTTTGCTACTTTTTAATATTTGTTAGGAGATAGTTGGACTACATGAAGTTCTTTTTGCTTTATAGGCTAGGTTGTTGGTTGTCATTTGCTAGTATATTATGCTGATTTGTTTTTCCTCAGGTTGTCCACCCTATTCATGATCAAACAGTTTACTTGTCTATGGAGCATAAGAGGAAACTTAAGGAGGAGTATGGTTAGTCTTTCCCTCTTATTTACTTTGTGTAATGGTCGAAAATAATGTTCAGCCTGCTTATCTTTTGTGCTTGAATAGGAATCGAACCATGGACATTTGTCCAGAAATTAGGTGATGCTGTTTTTATACCTGCTGGTTGTCCCCATCAAGTTAGAAATTTAAAGGTACATTGGTTTGTTCACCTACTGCTTATGAAATAACACCAAGTTATTTGCATCTTATCTTCTTTCAATTTTGGCCAAAAAGCAATTTGTTTATGTTTATTCCATACCAGTCTTGCATAAAGGTGGCGCTTGACTTCGTCTCACCAGAAAATGTCCAAGAGTGTCTTCGATTGACACAGGAATTCTGTGTTCTTCCACAAAATCATAGGGCTAAGGAAGACAAGTTAGAGGTATAATTTTGACCTTTGAGCTTCTTGTCAAACTCTTTCCAAGCATCAGAATCAGCAGGGTGCCTGAGAACGCCATCGTTACATCGAGACTCAGCGTGCCATCTCATGTTAATTGCTGATTTTTGACATATAAATAGCCGCTTGAGCCTCAGAATCAATGGAAAGTGTCGCAAAACTTTTTTCGGTACCCTTTTGCGCTGAGAGGTTGAAGAACTCGGTTGGTTTTCTACTGGATTCTTCCATCTTGAAGCATTACACACTTTGCATGCATTTAAGTTCGAGTCATCCTTCCAAAACAGCATGCAGTCATTCTCACACGCATCAATCTTGACGTAACCACACCCCAATTTACCGATGAGCTTCTTAACTTCATAAAAAGAGTCGGGTATATTTAAAAAATCAAGTTTTCTCATTAACTGAAGGGTTTCGGTAAATGTATTATCACTCATCTTGCCACGAGACTTAATTTTGTAGAACTCCATGACAAAAGAAAGTTTAGTATATACCCGGCATCCATCATAAACGGGGATGCACCACTCTTCAATGAGTGTACGAAAATCATCAGTTTCGGGGTTGGGTTCTTTGTGCAGATCTTCTTGATCGTGATGATGATCGTGATGAAGACACGCATGCAGTAAGTCTTCCATGTTATCACGTACATCAACAGGTTCATTTGAAATTGCAACTTCGGGAATTTCTGTATGATTAGTATTGTCCATTTCCTCGCCAATGTATTGTTCTTCGGACTCTCCATGCAGAGTCCATCGGCGTTCCCCATACATCTTATCCCAACCCCTCCAAAGTAAATGTTTATGAACGAATTCACGATCCCCCCATTTACGACACTTATAGTCTCTACATGGGCATCTTATTTTATTATCAACGTCACATCTAGCGAAGGCAAAATCCATAAATTCCACACAACCATTTTGATATGCTGCTAACCGACGATCACCTAATAAAACCCAACTCCTATCTTTTGGCATGCTTTAATTAACAAGATTACCTAGAAATGGGGAAGGATCACAATTATTAAAAGCAATTTTTCAATATTTCATAATTTAGCTTTACCTTAGGATGTGATTGTAATTTACCCTAATTTAAAGCAATTTTTCAATATTTTTCCGAAAAGGTTTTTTTATTTATTTATATATTTTATAGTCATATTTAGGAGTGGAAATCGGATGGATCGGATCGGATTTGGGTGTTTCGGAAAATTTCCGATTTTTTTCGGAAGTCCAAAACGCCTTCAAATTTCGATTCCGGTTTTTTCAGAATTCAAAAATTGATTCCGATTCCGATTTTATCGGAATTTTCGGAAAATCTTTATTTTCAGAAATCTTCATTTTCGGAATTTTTACGGACATTTTCAGTTATTTTTCGAAAATTTCCAGAATTTTCCCAAAAAAAAAAAAAAAAAAAAAAAAACCACCGACTTAGTAGCAAAGTAGACAAACTGAAGAAAGAAACATACACACTCACCAAAACACACACACACACACACAACAGACTCACAAACATAATTCCGAGCAACGGCTTTTCCGAGCAAACACATAATTCCGAGCAACATAAAACCCAAGAACAATTCGCATAATTCCGAGCAACAATAATTCCGAATAATTCCGAGCAACACAGGCTCATCAAATCAACATAAAACAAACAAACACATAATTCCGACAAAAAACCTAAAAATAGATCGATAATCGAACACCCACGTAATTTTGAACATAAACAAACAAACATTTAAAAAAACATAAAATTACCTTGAAAAAGAAGGAGTAGCGGCAGACGGTGACAACAACGGTGGAGGGCTGTCGGCAACGGCGGAGGGCTGGCGGCGGACGGCTGTCGGCAACGGCAACGGCTGCGACGGCAAAAGGATCGGCAGCGGAGATTGGGGGCGAATTAGGGGGCGGGATGACGGCGGCGGGATGACTGTTGGCGACGGCAACGGCTGAGGGACGGCGGCGAACCGTTAGCAGCAGACGGCAGCGGCGGGCGGCTGTCGGCGACGGCAACGGCTGGCGACGGCAGATCGGAGGAGATGGAGAGGGGGAGAAAGTTTGAGAGAGAGGGCCGGAGAGGAAATAGATCGAATTAGGGTCTGATTGAAATAATAAGTCAATATTTGCGACGTTTCCAATTTTCGTCTCCAACATATCCGAGACCTAGCGACGCATTGTAAAGTACGTCGCTACTAAATTCGAAAAAAAAAATTGAGCACATTTCTTGCGACGCTTTTGTAAATCCGTCGCAGAGATTTAAAAAAAAAAGAAAAATTTACTAAAACGGTGGCGACGTTTTTCACTTTCCGTCGCCACATATAAATTAATTACAAATAATTGGGCACTACTAGCGACGTTTCTGCACAAAAGTCGCAAAGTATATTATTTTTTGTTTTTTAAAATAATAATTGCGACGATTCCGCCTGTTACATCGCAAAATTCGAAATATAAAATCACAAAATATGTAACTTAGCGACGAAAAACTATTTCCGTCGCCAAGAAAAGTATTTTTAATTTTTTTTTTTCGTATTGGCGACGTTTATATATTTTGCGTCGCTACCTAGCGACGCTTATCCAGAATCGTCGCTAGGGTTTTGAATTAAAACTAGATTTTCCACTTTAAGCGACGATTTAAGCACAGAAACGTCGCAAAGCTGCGACGAACGCATAACCGTCGCGAAAAAAAACGTCGCCAGTCTTGCATTTTGGCCTAGTGTATCAAGTGTCTTATTTATCTTTCTTTCTTTCTAATTGGAATGCATGCATCCATATCCTACTATGATGAAAATAGTGTCTTATAGTTGTTAAGACTGATCTGAAAATTTTGAAATCTTGAAATTTGTCTAAAGGTGAAGAAAATGGCTCTTCATGCAATTGAAAAAGCTGTGGATCATTTGGAGATATTTTCTGGCCCGAACTAGAACTGGCAAGTTTTTTAACTCTAGCCTTGACTTCTTCTGCCAAAATAGACCTCTTTGATCTTTGCTTTGTTTTAATCCAAGGAAACAAAATCTAGTTTTGGCGCTTGGCTTTGTTTTCTTTAATACTATCGATGGTTTGCCGCAGGGATCTGCTGTACGAGACGTGGAAACAAGGCTCCAAGAATGTGTTGCTAATTGACAGATTCATGTTCTTAAGTAGATTCGCCGCTGCTTGTACGTAGAACAAACCCATAATTAACTCGATTCTTAGCAATATCCGTACTAGTTCCATCCATAAGTTCGATTTTCTCACGAGTATTATTGCAGTTTGGAATAGATTATGTACTGAAACAATGGTAGATGGACAGAAAACAAAGTGAGCTAGTATTATATATTACTTGAGAATCACTTCATCTTCATTCTCAATTTAAGGTTACTTAGAAAAAGTTGTTTAGTGTGTTCTTTTATTTGCTAATTGTGCTTTAAAATGTGCGTATAGGATGTGGATTCTCAATTTGTGGTAAAAGAAATAATTTCAATTTAATGATGTAGTGGGTCAAACTTCATTTATGGTTGGTGGTGTTGGAGACTAAACCACTTTACATTCCAAACTACATGTTCATGAATAAGCCTGGAGCTTTCAAACTTCCAAGTTCATGAAGTTGCTATTTTTCAGTGCTGATATTTATTTTCGTATTTAAGTTTCTTGATAATTGTAACATGGCTAGCCTATAAGTTTGGTGTACGGAAGGAGAAATGGCAGATTGGAATATTATAATTGTCTGATAATAGCGTTTGAGATTCAAAACTCTCAATCTCTTTCATATTTCAACTTGTGTAATTGAGATTTGCATTTCTTGAAGTTTCTTCTTAATACCACCCTCATCATTTGGTATCAAGAGCCAATCTCGTTTGGGCCTGTGTCTTCTTTCTCGATGGCAGCAAGAAGAGGAAGAGGTGGGCGTGGAAGAAATAACCCAATCATAGAAAACTTGGGTGATGAACGAAATGCTGAAATTCAAACTCTCCGGAGACAAGTTGAGGAGTTAACGTTGCGTCTCGAGCGTCAGGAAGCCAGAAGTGGACGAGGTTCTAGTCATGGTTATTCCAGTGATGACTCAGAGCTAACGAATCCTTTTGCTGAGAGCCAACATCAAAATTTTGGTAGAAGAATGTCATATCCTTCGGACACTCTAAAGGTTGATCTACCAGAATTCCAGGGACGCCTTCAACCGGAGGAGTTTTTGGATTGGCTTAGTGCTGTAGAGAAATTCTTTGAGTACAAAGAAATTCCCGAGAATCAAAAAGTGAAATTGGTGGCGACCAGGCTCCGCGGTTATGCATCCTCTTGGTGGGATAAGGTACAAGATATGAGATTAAGAAAAGGAAAGCCGAAGATTGCTTCATGGGAAAAAATGAAAGCACGATTACGAGAAAATTTTCTACCCCTGAATTTTGCTCAAAATATTTTTATGCAATTTAATACTTTACAGCAGGGCAATAGAAGTGTGGTTGACTATACAGAAGAATTTTACAAATTAATGGCTCGTTGTGACAATCAAGAGTCCGAAGATCATCTTATTGCAAGATATGTTAATGGCTTGAGACTACCCATTAGAGATGAAGTGGAGTTGCAGCAGGTATGGAAGTTAAACGACGCCTATCAATTGGCCTTGAAAGTTGAATCAAAGTTATCAAGACGGGGTGCGAGGAAATTTGTGGATATTCAAAGCCTCTATCCATCCAAAACCGAACTTTCCAATCAAAATCTCCCTAAAAGAGGCAAAAGTGAGAATAATTCAGCAGCAAACAAAGCTAAACCTGCCAATTGTTTCAAATGCGGCCAACCTGGACATTACATGAATGAGTGCCCGAAGCGGAGGAGTGATGCTCGTATGGGGCTTGTGGGTGAAGAAGGAACGGAAAAACAAATAGAAGAACCAGAGCCAAAATATGATGAAGATGCCAATTACGAGCGCGAAGAGATTGAGCCAGAGGAGGGAGAATGCTTGGTAATTCAACGAGTTCTTGCTGCCCCCAAGCCAGATAGCGATGAAAATTGGCTACGGCACAACATCTTTAGGACACGGTGTAAATCTCATGGAAAGGTATGTTCTCTCGTCATTGATGGAGGTAGTTTCGAGAATTTTGTTTCCCAGGAGATGGTGGACAAGCTCAGACTCAAGGTTGTACCCCACCCAAGACCGTATGCTGTCTCATGGATAAACAAGGACAATGAGGTAAAAATTGAGAAGAAATGTCTCGTTTCTTTTTCTATGGGAAAAAATTATTATGACGAAGTATGGTGTGATGTAACTCCAATGGATGTTGGACATCTATTATTGGGTAGGCCTTGGCAATATGATAGAGGCGCAATCCATGACGGAAGAAGAAATACTTATAAGTTTATGGTGGGAAAAACTGAAATTCTTCTTTTACCATGTAAAGATGTTTGTGAACCCAAACCTGTAAAAAAAGAAGAGGGCCATGCCTTACTTACTTTGTCGCAGTTTGAGAAGGAAGTTAAAAAGAGACAGGTTAATCTATCTTCTGATCGTCGATGGAACTACACAATCCACAAAAATTCCAGCCGATGTTAAAATTCTATTAGAGGAGTTCAATGATGTTGCTCCAAAAGAATTGCCGAGTGACCTTCCACCTCTAAGAGAGATTCAACATCAAATTGATTTGATTCCAGGAGCTTCACTTCCCAACAAAGCCCACTATCGGATGAGTCCAAAAGAACACGAAGAGCTTCATCGGCAGGTAGTGGAATTGTTGAACAAGGGTTACATCAGGGAGAGCTTAAGTCCTTGTGCTGTCCCGGCACTACTTACTCCAAAGAAGGATGGTTCTTGGCGCATGTGTACTGATAGTCGGGCGCTTAATCGAATCACTATCCGATATCGATTTCCCATACCGAGAATTGATGATATGTTTGATATGTTGGCTGGCGCACAAATATTCTCGAAAATTGATCTCAGAAGCGGATATCATCAAATTCGAATCAAGCCGGGAGATGAATGGAAGACGGCGTTCAAAACAAGAGAAGGCCTGTACGAATGGCTTGTTATGCCATTTGGCCTTAGCAATGCTCCAAGCACGTTCATGAGGGTAATGAATCAAGCTCTTCACTCTTTTATTGGAAAATTTATTGTTGTGTATTTCGATGATATTCTTATCTACAGTCGAAACCCTTCTGACCATATTGAACATTTAAGAATGGTCCTTATGAAACTGAGACAAGAAAAACTCTACATCAATCTGGGAAAGTGTTCTTTTATGACCACTCATCTTGTTTTCCTAGGATTCGTATTAACTCCCGCAGGGATTATGGTGGATGAAGGAAAAATCAAGGCCGTTCAAGAATGGCCTATTCCTAAGAGTTTACACGAGGCTCGGAGTTTCCATGGATTAGCTTCATTTTATCGGCGGTTTATTCGAAATTTTAGCACCGTTGCAGCACCATTAACAGATTGCTTGAAGAAGAGGGGATTTATTTGGACACCAGATGCGACCAAGAGCTTTGAGCTTATCAAGGAAAAGTTGTCTACTGCCCCGGTCCTTGTGCTTCCAGATTTTGAGAAAATCTTTGAGGTCGATTGTGATGCGTCTCATATTGGAATTGGAGGAGTACTCAGTCAAGAAGGACACCCCATTGCCTTTTACAGCGAAAAGCTAAATGAGACAAGGAAAAAGTATTCTAAGTATGATATTGAGTTCTACGCTATTGTTCAGACTCTTCGTCATTGGAGACCTTATCTCATTCAAAGAGAATTTATCCTCAACTCTGACCATGAAGCCCTCAAGTATATTAACTCTCAAGATAATTTGAATAGGAGACATGCAGGTTGGGTTTCTTTCTTACAAGAATACACTTTTATCTTAAGGCATAAAAGTGGCAAGCTTAACAAAGTGGCAGATGCACTTAGTCGAAGAATTGCCTTGTTAACTACATTGACCACGCAACTTGAGGGTTTTGATGTCATAAGGACAATGTATTCGGAGGATCTCGAGTTTAAGGAAATCTATCACAGGAGCACAAAAGGAGGCTATGAAGATTATTGCCTGAGTAATGGATTTCTCTTTAAAGGTCCACGATTATGCATTCCTAAATCTTCACTTAGGGAGCGCATCATCAAGGAACTTCACAGCGGAGGACTCGGCGGACATTTTGGACGTGATAAAACCTTGCTGCTGGTTAAGGAAAAATATTTTTGGCCTGGTCTTTATGGAGTGTCGCAAAATTTGTGAAAAGATGTCGTATATGCCAAACCTGCAAAGGACAATCACAAAACACCGGTGCTTATATACCATTGCCTATTCCTAATGTTCCGTGGGAGGACGTTAGCATGGACTTTGTTGTTGGGTTACCAAGAACACAACGAGGTTTCGATTCCATCTTTGTAGTGGTTGATCGATTCTCCAAGATGGCCCATTTTATTCCATGCAAGAAAACTATGGATGCCTCGTATATAGCTGCTCTTTATTTCAATGAGGTTGTGAAGCTTCATGGAATTCCGAAATCAATCACTTCTGATCGTGATTCTAAATTCCTTAGCCATTTTTGGAGAAGTCTTTGGAAGAAAATCGGTACTAGTTTGTTGTACAGTAGTGCGTATCATCCTCAAACCGATGGGCAGACCGAAGTGGTCAACCGAACTTTAGGAAATTTGCTTCGGAGTTTCGCTTCCAAGAGAATAAAGCAATGGGATCTCGTTCTTCCTAGAGCTGAATTTGCGTATAATTAAGCTGAGAATCGCTCTACAGGAAAAAGTCCATTTGAAATTGTTTATGGACGTGCTCCTGGCCACTATCTCGATCTTTCTAATGTCACCACATCTAATAGAAAGGCTGAAGATTTTACAACTACCATGACCAAAATTCACGAAGAAGTCCAAAAGAAACTTGCGGAAAGTACTGCATCTTACAAGAAGGCTGCCGATAGTCACCGTCGAGTTCAAACTTTCGAGGAAGGTGATTTTGTTTGGGTTTATTTAAAAAAATAAAGGTTTCCAGCTGGGGCATATCATAAACTCAAGGAGAAAAAGGTTGGTCCTTGTCGGATTCAAAAGAAAATTAACGATAATGCATACAAGGTTGATCTTCCAGCTCATTTACGTACTCATTCTACGTTCAATGTTCGTGACTTAGTTCCTTATCACGGCGAGAATGATTTGAACTCTGAGACGAGTTCTTTCCCACCCGGAGAGGATGATGTAGTGGGTCAAACTTCATTTATGGTTGGTGGTGTTGGAGACTAAACCACTTTACATTCCAAACTACATGTTCATGAATAAGCCTGGAGCTTTCAAACTTCCAAGTTCATGAAGTTGCTATTTTTCAGTGCTGATAT